CAAGAGTTGCGCTCGAAAAGGTGAACATTTCTTGAGCAAAGTATTGCTTTGTGATTAAAACTGTTCTGATCAACTAATGATGCGATGCTCTCGAGAAAGGACATATAAAATTGTGGAGTGCACATTATTTGGTCTGAATCAACTGTCGATTTGAAGCAATTTTTAAATGGAATATTTGCAAAAAAAACTTCACGAACTGACTCATCACATGTAGCACGAGCAATATGAATTTTTCACTTTAGGTTGCATCGTTCAATACGGAGACACGTGCCACTCGAGAGGGATTAACGAATTTCGTTAAATTAGTTGAAACTGAAAACGATCTGGTTGGTGTTGATCAGCTTATCCAACCGAACAGGGTCAGTTCATCGCCTCGATCTGTAGTCATTAGCGGTACTCGAGAATGTCTCGCCCGTATCAATTTTGCTCTCGAATTTAGCGTTTATGACGCGAAAAAATGGTCAAAATCAACAAAAATCGGTCAAAGTTAACAAAAATTGGTCAAAGTCAACGTAGAATTGTTGTGCACGAATTTGATCCAGTTCCATCACAGCGGTGCACTAATTCAAAGTGAGAAAGTGTACGATTGATATTATTTACAAGTGGCAAGAAACTACTGACTGTTGTCTTTCAGAAGTTCATTCGTGAAGGTTGGTTGTGCCGTTGGAGTCAAGAAGGCCTCGTACCACGGATGTTCGTCCTCTTCAACGACTCTCTAGTCTTCGCGTATCATTCAAGCTCAAATCAATTCATCGTCAATGGCTTCCTTCCTATTCGAGCTATGCTTGTATGCTTTGAATTTCAATATTTGAACACTGATCTGTTGCAAGACTATTGCCTTTGTCCCGGTTCTGTTGGTTCTGTGAGTTAGAAACAAAAAAAAAGATTAGTATCTTTATTAAAATAAAACAAATCACCACACTGACAGCACAGTTTATTGTGAACACCAATAACCTGATGATCAGATANTCGGAACAATTCGAGTTGACGATTCGGCCCACTGAATTGCGGGTAACTGGAGATTCGTTGTCGTCGAAATTAAACAATCTGCCGATTTCACAGAGTTAGCGACACTCCTGAGCACGAGAAAAGAGAACTGGGGATAGGATCTGAATTTTGGAAGCCGTCGGTTAGGTTTTAAGTGGCTTCAAACGTCAAGCTGAATTCCATGTCGTCGAAATCTGATTTAGTGAGTTATCGGTATGTGGAGGGTATTGGCTGGCCGTTGTTGCGCCGTTCGATTGACCATGTGTTGAAATTTGGCTGGCGGGATTGACCACATTATCTGTTCGTGGACTTTGGCCATGTTGCATAGCATCGTGCAAAATTGAGTGATGTTCCAATCGGGATGTTTATGGATTTGCATTGTACATCTCAACTAGGGCCCAGTGCCGCAGCTTGCCTTCGATGAGTGTCTCCAGCAACGAGTTGTCGACGTCGTCGCCCGTCTCCTCTAGTTAGGCGAACAATCGTCGTAATTGAGTCGTTCGCCAACTCAAGAAGACAGGCGACGATCACCATACATAACTAACGATGGCCGAAGGCCGGTCTTATCGACTGCAGTTGATTGTGTAGCTTTCGGCGCAAGTNCGTAATTGCGTTCTTCTTCAATAGCGTACACTGCAACGCACTGCGCCGCTGCTCCTTGCTGGCAGCAGTGCTGCGCATCGCAGGGTACATCATTAAGTATGATAATTTGTGCACCTCAGCGATGGGTGCGTTGTCGACAGAGTGGGCGAAAGCTGCCCAAAACGGAGACCATGTTATGGGATCGCCATTCAATACGGGCAATTGTAGTTTGGGTAAGTTCATCCATGTAGAATTGGATGGTTCAACGAATGGTGGAGCGGGATTTTAATGGTGTTGGGGTGCCAGATAGGGGGTGGCTTGTCGTGCTTAGTCTCAATAATTTCTAAATTGGCATGGATTTCATCCATCACATCTCTGGCTCTTAATAAGGTACCTGATGGATTCTCGACGGCTTGTTGATATATTTGGACGTGTTTGTCGGATGTTGTTCTCGCTTTGAGTAGTTTGCGCTATTACTTGGCGTATGATTCGATCTCGGCAGCGTATTGGTTGATTTTTTTGAGAGCGTATGATTGCATCGGTCGATTCAGAGGAGGTAGTCGTTGAGGTACGTCCTCGCCGCGTCTCAGGATCATTCGATGATGGACACGTTTTTCAATATCACTTGAAGTCACACTTCAGGTGATAGTGTAAAACGTGCCCATCATCGAATGCTGTCGATTGTTTGATAGTAGCTGTGAGGATCGCGGCCATGACGTTCCCAGTCCGGCTGAGGTTCGCAGATTTCGTAAAGACTTTGTTTGATGATATCCTGCGATGTAGGTGCGAAGACGATAGAAATTATATTTTATTAACAATAAGACGAGGTGGATCACACACAGTAACAATTGATAAAGGTAATTGACGATTGATCGGTTGAGATTTAGAATCATACAGTAACAATTGATGAGCTGATGAGGAGGGTCATGGAAAAAAACGGTCCTACATCAACACGAATACGGCCAGTGGCTAACCGTCTCCATTCGTGTTGATTATAAGGCCGTCACCAGGCTACTGATCCGAACGTCGGATGATGAGTGACGAATTCGGTACAGTAACGAATCCGCCGTTCATAAATTTACATGTAACGAATTGTGTATAGGAGTTGTGTGATCACTTGATAATAGAATGGTGATTTGCATATAACGAATAGAAATTGAGTGATTACTAATTTAATAGCACCGTAAATTTGCTTATAACGAATTGTATGTTTGATCATTGCCCTAATTCCATAATGAATTAGCATATAAGGATTTGGTTTGAAGTCTGCAAATAATAATTTATTGTTAGATATTTGATTATATTTTGCTGCTAATTTGAATCATTTTGTTTTGGGTTTGAGAAA